AGTCTGGACCACTGGACGGGTTCCGCAGGATTGGAAGGATGCCCTGGTGGTCCCCCTTTTTAAGAAGGGGGACCGCACAGACTGTAACAACTACAGGGGCATCTCACTCCTCAGTGTGCCGGGAAAGGTCCTGGCAAAGATTATTCAGCATCGCCTTGCCAGGCACGCTGAGGAGAGGCTTGCGGAGCCCCAATGCGGTTTCAGGAAAGGGCGGTCCTGCACGGATGCCATATTTTCTGTCCGTCTGCTACAGCAGAGGTGTAGGGAATTCCAACAAGACCTACATCTCTGCTTTATTGACCTGGTCAAGGCCTATGATACCATCAGTAGGCCTGGGCTCTGGGTCGTTCTTCGTGCTTTTGGAGTACCTGACCCTCTGCTCACGATCATTAAGGACCTTCATGATGGTGAGCGGGCCCGGGTAAAACTACGTGGCCGGGAGTCAGAGCCATTCCCTGTACACCTTGGGGTGCGACAGGGATGTCCTCTGGCTCCCACATTATTTAACATCTATTTTGACCACGTAGTTCGTGAAGCCTTCAATAGCTGTACCGGGGGAATCTCCATATGGTACAGATATAATGGGAGGCTAATCGATGCCCGGGTGCGGTCAAGGGATGGCTCCCTATTGCTCAACCACGTTATGTATGCTGATGACTTGGTAATAGCTGCTCAGTCAGAGGAGGAGTTGGAGACGCTGCTGCTGAGACTGGAGCGTGCCACTAAGAGGTGGGGCCTTACCATCAGCCCCACCAAAACTAAGCACCTGCCTGGGTATTTTGTACCATCGGACACTCCACCCCCACAACTCCCAATCGGTGATGGGGCAGTTGTGGAGAGAGTGGAGAGTTTCCCATACCTGGGCAGTGTGCTTATGACTGGCTCCAGTTTAACAGCAGAGGTCTCACTCCGAATCAGTCGAGCGGCAATATCTTTTCATCGGTTGCGTAACGCTGTGTGGAAGCTACCTGGTCTGTCGCTCCGCACTAAGCTTCAGGTCTTCTCGGCCACGGTCATTCCCTCCCTTCTCTACGCTTGCGAAACGTGGACCCCCCTAATGGAACATCTTCGCCGGTTAGAAACATTTAGGCTGACCTGCCTACGATCCATCCTGGGTTTAACCAGACTGGATTGTGTGAGGAGCTCACAAATCCTTGAAAGATCTGGGCAGGGTCCCATCGGTGAGCTCCTCCGGCAGGCAAGGCTGCGATGGCTGGGTCATGTAGCCCGCATGCCCAGCCACCGCATGCCGAAACAGCTTTTGTTTGGCCGGATTGAGGGGGCTAAGCGGGCGCGGCACGGGCTAGAGAAGAGATGGAGTGATGTGGTACAGGAGGACGTGGAGCTGAGTGGACTTGCCGATGACTGGTACCAGCGGTGTCAAGATCGGCCTCTGTGGAGGAGGCTCGTGAAGGATGCTACTGGGCAGTTGGAGGCAGTCGCCCTCCAACAACAACGGAGGGCGGAGGAGCGACGCTCACAACAGCGAGCGGAGCGCCGGGTGGCTAAAGCACAGCAGGTTGGCACAGTAGGGGGCACAGGTGGTGCATCAGCCAGTCATCTCAGTCAGTCGACCCGTGGCACCTGGGTCTGCCCCGTGACCTCCTGCCAGCGGGCGTTCGACACTTCACGTGGCCTCAGGGTGCACATAGCCTGGCACAAGCGTCGTGGTGACGTCACCGCCACTTAGTGGCGAATGGCGGTTGTTGTTGTTGTTGTTGTGTCTGTGTGTGTCTGTGTGTGTGTACCTGTACCTGTGTGTACCTGTGTGTACCTGTGTGTGTGTGTCTGTGTGTGTGTGCCTGTGTATACCTGTGTGTGTGTGTGTACCTGTGTGTGTCTGTGTGTGTGTGTGTCTGTGTGTGTGTGTACCTGTGTGTGTGTGTCTGTGTGTGTGTATGTGTCTGTGTGTGTGTGTGCCTGTGTGTGTGTCTGTGTGTGTACCTGTGTGTGTGTGTGTGTTTGTGTACCTGTGTGTCTGTGTGTACCTGTGTGTGTGTGTGTCTGTGTGTGTGTGTGTGTGTCTGTGTGTGTGTGTGTCTGTGTACCTGTGTGTGTGGTGTGCGTACCTGTGTGTCTGTGTGTGTGTGTACCTGTGTGTGTCTGTGTGTGTCTGTGTGTGTGTACCTGTGTCTGTATGTATGTATGTGTGTGTGTCTGTGTGTGGCTGTGTGTGTCTGTGTGTCTGTGTGTGTACCTGTGTCTGTGTGTATGTATGTGTGTGTGTGTCTGTGTGTGTGTGTCTGTGTGTGTGTGTGTACCTGTGTGTGTGTGTCTGTGTGTGTGTGTGTACCTGTGTGTGTGTGTCTGTGTGTGTGTCTATGTGTTGTGTGTGTCTCTGTGTGTGTGTGTGTGTACCTGTGTGTGTGTGTCTGTGTACCTGTGTCTGTGTGTGTGTGTCTGTGTGTGTGTGTGTCTGTGTGTGTGTGTGTGTGTCTGTCTGTGTGTGTACCTGTGTCTGTGTGTGTGTACCTGTGTGTACCTGTGTGTGTGTGTGTCTGTGTGTGTGTGTGTACCTGTGTGTGTGTGTCTGTGTGTCTGTGTGTGTGTGTGTACCTGCGTGTGTGTGTGTGTCTGTGTGTGTGTGTCTGTGTGTGTCTGTGTGTGTGTGTCTGTGTGTACCTGTGTCTGTGTGTGTGTGTACCTGTGTCTGTGTGTGTGTCTGTGTGTGTGTGTCTGTGTGTGTGTCTGTGTGTACCTGTGTGTGTGTGTCTGTGTGTACCTGTGTGTGTGTCTGTGTGTACCTGTGTGTACCTGTGTGTGTGTACCTGTGTGTGTGTCTGTGTGTGTCTGTGTGTGTGTGTACCTGTGTCTGTGTGTGTGTACCTGTGTGTACCTGTGTGTGTGTGTGTACCTGTGTGTGTCTGTGTGTACCTGTGTGTGTGTGTGTGTACCTGTGTGTGTGTGTCTGTGTGTACCTGTGTGTGTGTGTGTGTGTACCTGTGTGTGTCTGTGTGTTTCTGTGTGTGTACCTGTGTGTCTGTGTAATGGAACATCTCCGCCGGTTGGAAACATTTAGGCTAGCCTGCCTACGATCAATCAATCCTGGGGCAAGAGACTGCCAAACAACAGGGAGTGGCTCTTCTTCTCACCACAAGAATGAAGGGGGCGTGGGAGCTTGGCGGTGAGGTGTGCGAAGCTGTAAGCCCCAGGCTACTTTGGGCTCGCCTTCCCATCAACCAGAGGCGAGGAGTGGTGGTCGTGGTTACTTATGCACCCACCGAAGACGAACATCCGTGGAGGGATGCAGGCAAGGCCGATGAGTCAGATGCCTTCTATGACCTCCTGTCACAGGTGCTGGCTAAAGATGGCCCTCGGGATAGAGTCATCATGTTGGGTGACTTTAATGCCCGAGTTGGTCATGATGCTGGCACCTGGTCTGGAGTGATTGGAAGGCATGGGCCAGATCAGCCCAATAACAACGGTAGGAGGCTGCTAGATTTTTGTGCAGCCCATGGGCTTGTAATTACCAACACGCTGTTCCGGCATCGGCGCATCCACACAACATCATGGATGCATGCCGGGTCCAAGCAAGAACATCTGCTGGACTACATAGTGACGGACCAGCGAATGCGAGCCCATGTCCTTGACACCAGGACCTACCGTGGAGCTGATCTGCCCTCTGACCATCGACTAGTCATCTGTAAGATGCGCCTGCCATTCTTCCACTCCGGTGGTGGATGTACACCCAGGACCCCATTCAAACCCATTGAGGCCTGGTCTCAGCTGATGAAAGTTGCAAGCGAGAATTTCATCATCGCTTGCGGCTAGGGTTGGCATCGTCCCCCACTCCTCCTGATGTCGAGGGTAAATGGGCGAGGTTTAGGACTGTGGCTCATGCAGCTGCAATGGCTGCGTTGGGCACACGGTCCAGACCTCCCCAGAGACCCTGGCTGACAGAGGAGGTGTTCAGGATGGCTGAGAAAAAGCGACAGGCCCACTGTCATCGGCTACAGAATCCCACGTCAGAGAATGAGGAGGCTTACCGCAGCCTTCGCTCGGAGGTTCAGAGAGCCGTGAGGCGCTGCAAGGATGGGTGGTGGTCGCGGGTTGCTGAGGAGATGGTGTCTGCCTCAGTGGCCCGCGATCACAAATCTCTATTTAACTCCATCAAAAAAGTAACCTGCAGTGCCACACCTATTATCCAATCTCCGACCCCCAGGAACAGGTTTGCAGATTTGCTGAGCATTTCTGTGAGGTCCTGGGGGAGGGGAAATCCCTCAGCCAGGAAAACATCGTGGCACAAAGTGAGGATGACCCTGCTGAGGCTGCGGTGCCTCAAATATTGGAGGAGGAAGTCACCCCCTGTGAGTGGCTGGCTGAGGTGCCATTTGTTGAAGAAGTACTGAAGGCGATCTAGAGCCTGAGACCAGGAAAGGCACCGGGCAGAGATGATCTCCCAAGCAAAATGCTGAGGGAGGGTGGCGTTTGTGCACAGACTGCCCTATATGACATCATAACAACAGTCTGGACCACTGGACGGGTTCCGCAGGATTGGAAGGATGCCCTGTTGGTCCCCCTTTTTAAGAAGGGGGACCGCACAGACTGTAACAACTACAGGGGCATCTCACTCCTCAGTGTGCCGGGAAAGGTCCTGGCAAGGATTATTCAACATCGCCTTGCCAGGCACGCTGAGGAGAGGCTTGCAGAGCCCCAATGCGGTTTCAGGAAAGGGCGGTCCTGCACAGATGCCATATTCTCTGTCCGTCTGCTACAGCAGAGGTGTCGGGAATTCCAGCAAGACCTACATCTCTGCTTTATTGACCTGGTCAAGGCCTACGATACCATCAGTAGGCCTGGGCTCTGGGTCGTTCTTCGTGCTTTCGGAGTCCCTGACCCTCGGCTCACGATCATTAAGGACCTTCATGATGGCGAGCGGGCCCGGGTAAAGCTACTCGCCCTCTGTGTCTGCAGTACATGGGCATCTGCACTCGCTACTGACAGCACTTGCCCCCAGCAGTCTGTGTGGGTCACATGGGGGTGGACGTTTGTCTGTGTAGGCACGGTTCAACTGTCGACTGCCAAGGCCGTGGGACAGCTGTACCGACAGCAGCCTGGCATAGCGCAACATCAGCTGCAGCAGCAGCTGCAGGTAAGGGTACTGTACTCGCCCGTCCACCCACTCGCCCGTCCACCCACTCGCCCGTCCACCCACTCGCCCGTCCACCCACTCGCCAGCTCACCCACCCGCCTTGCCCACTCAGTCAACCACTCATCCACTCACCCACCCTATCACCCACCCACCTACTCACCCACCCGCCTTGCCCAGCCAGTCAACCACTCATCCACTCACCCACCCTATCACCCACCCACCTACTCACCCACCCGCCTTGCCCAGCCAGTCAACCACTCATCCACTCACCCACCCACTCACCCACCCTATCACCCACCCACCTACTCACCCACCCACCTTACCCACCTAGTCAACCACTCATCCACTCACCCACCCTATCACCCACCCTATCACCCACCCACTCACTCACCCAGTCACCCACCCAGTCACCCACCCACCTACCCACCCATTCACCCACTCACCCAGTCACTCACCCACCTACTCACCCAACCACCTTGCCCACCCAGTCAACCACTCATCCACTCACCCACCCTATCACCCACCCAGTCACCCACCCACCTACCCACCCATTCACCCACTCACTCACCCATCCACCCACCTAGCCACCCACCTAT